AGAGAGAGAGAGAGAAGAGAGAGAACCCAAACAAAGCGCCAAGAGAGCATGAGACGGGGGGGGGATGGACCAAAGTGGGGTATCTAGTGTGTACCAGCCAGAAGCTGATAGTGGTACGTGGTACAACGAGTGAAGCGGCGAATGAAGCGCTGATCCATGGCCGTCGCCGCAAGAAACCGAATCTGTGTGAGCTAACGTTTCTGCGGATCAGTCGCCGGACACGATGGACTGTTTCTGCGTCCGGCACCGACGCGGATGAGGAGGAAGAGGATAGGATGGGATGCAAAGTACAGGGCTGCCTCGGTGGAGGCCGAGATGTCGTCTCAAAGAGACAATGGGGGAGGGTCCAGAATCGCCGCCCGGCTGCGGCGGAGCGAATGGAACACCGGATGCAAGGGCGTTGCTCGGTGATCAGACAATGGTTGAGGGGAGGAAGGAAGGAGAGGGGGGAGAATCAGGCGGAGTGCATGAAGAGAGACGCCGACGGTGCCGGAAAGGATCCAGGCCCTGGGGAGGCTTGCCGGAAGCGTGATGGGAGCGTGGCATGGCGGAGGGAGTGTTGACGGGAGGCGTGGGAGTACCAGCGATTTGGTACCGGCCGACGAAGAGGGGAGCCGAGAGCGGGAGTGAAAGGTGCCGCTGCGTGGAAGCGCGAGGGTGGATGCTGCGAACGAGATCGAGGCGAGCGGGCGGTGGCGGCGTACGAGGGATGGAGGTGCATCGGGATGGCGGGCAACGAACCCCAGGGACCGCCGCCAAGACGACCCTAGGGACTGTAGCTGTCACCCAAGGCGATGCGCGGAGGTGCGATGCCAAGCGCAGCGCCCGTGTCCGTGTTTCTTGTCTGGCTTGACAGATGATCAGCATGCATCGTCGAGACTGCAGGAAGGGGCAGCGGCGGCGGACAAACAACGAGCATGTGGGCCCAGCCGAGTGCGATTCAGTGCGATTCGGTGGCAGGGACGGGCAAGGTGGTGTACAGTATGCGCGCTCGCAAATGGAACGCCGTCCAGACTCGTGGCGCCGCCCCCTCCGCTGCCGGACCTGCGTTTCTTGTCTTGTCGGCGAACGGATTTCTGGTGGAATTTCGAGATTTCTTTTGGAGTCGCGCTTCGATGCATGCACGACTGGGCTCGACTGTATGCAAGCCAGCCAGCCAGCCAGCCATTCAGCCACAAGCCCTCTCTTGGCCAGCGACGATGGTGAGGCGGCCTTCTGCGCACGCGGTCGAGTCTAGGCCTCGACGCCTTTTTTAAGGTGTGCTGGCCGACGGCCTCTGCTTTACGCTCAGCCTCGTGCGCTTGCAGAGCCTGGATCGAGCCTTTGCCTTCCGATCCTGCTGCCCACGCGACGATTAGAGTAGCGAACCTCGTCCCATTGATGCCGATCGTGCATAGCTCGTCGCAAGCACGTGCATTCCGAAAGCTCGGTGCACAGGCTCCCCACTGTGCTTTGCATCGCAGTGCCAGCGCGCATCTTCACGGTTTGCAATTCGTCTTGACCATGGCTGATGTGCCTCTGCCGACGAGATGGGTCCCAAATGAGCCCCGAGCTGTACGTTGCAGCTCGGCAGCAGTTGAGACCGAAGGTGGAGCGAAGCAGTGGTTGTTGCAGCGGAGAGAGGGGGTGAATGTGTTGGGGAGGCTTGCTTGCGAGTCGCCGACGGCCTTTCATTTTGTGTATAGCATCTTTGAACGCCCGCCCGGCTGGCTGGTGCAACGTGCGAGACTCAACCCCGGAGGCCGGCGCGGATTGAAAGACGCGTCCGGTTGGGTCTAGACCCCCTCCTTGGTCCTTGGGCCCTTTGCCCGTCGCCGTTTCCGTTTCCGTTGCCGGATCCGATTTCTTTTTTGACACCTCCGTCGGGAAAAGCAAGCTCGGATTCTGACCGGTACCAGCAGATCCCAATCGGCTCGCACTGGTGCAAGATCTCTCCTCCTCCGACCCGTGCTCGTGTACCGCAGGACAGCCCGTGTCAGCTTCGCATCCCGATCGTGGCGATTGCTCCTGCGCATCGCCCCATCGCGCAACAATGGGTTCCAATGAGCGTCTCGACCATCGCACACCTCACAGCCGCTCGGATACGGGATAAGCAACATGCAGCTGGCTCGAGAGTCAATCTCCGATCGGCAGTCAACTTGGCGCGCCACATGCACGCCATGCAACAGCATCACCAGCCTCGATCTTTCCAGCGCCATCGCAGCTCGCCTCAAAGCGCGAACAGTGGCTTTCCCGACGCCTGCGTTGCTTTTCGCGGCCAGCTGGTTTCAAGCCTGGATCAATCGGGAAGCCCCGCGATCCGATCCAAACCCGATCCACCACTCTGGTCTTCAGCACAGCGTCTCCTAGCCGCCCCCGACTTATTGTCCGGCAGCAGCCCGAGCAGCCTGTTGCAACACGGCGTCGGATTACGTTGATTGGGTATACAAATGAGCTGCGATATCGCCGAGTGAGTGCAGAGTAGCTTCGGGCTGTCTTAGGAGCGGACTGGCTGGCCGCGCAGGAACGCCGACACGGCATCGGCGGTCCAACAGTCCTGGTCGAGCTTTCGGCGATGACGCTGCTCGAGCTGCTGTGCTTTTGTCTGTGCGTCGTCGTCCGAATCGTCGTCCTCGCTCTCCTCCTCACCCGCATCCTCGTCGGCGTCATCGGCGGGCGCGAGTCGTTCGCGTACATTGAGCACGTTGCCCTCTTCGTCCGGCGCATATCGCACGTGGTACCAGGTACGCAGCGATCGTAGCGCCAGCATATCGTGCTGTGCAATCTCGTCCTCGATCTGCTCCAGCTGCGCATCCACATCCGCATCCTCACTCGCCATCCGTCCGACCGTTTGAGCCTTGGCGGCATCGTAGCTCTCGACAAGGCTGCTTTCTTGCTTGATGATGTCCGCTTCGGGTGCAGTGCGCAGCAGCGCACCGAGGAAGTTGATGTTCTCGTCCGGTATCGGCAGCACGGGGTGTGCGAGCAGCAGAGGTAGCGGATTGTTGCGGTCGTAAAAGCTCAGTTCGGGAAGCCCATCAGCTGAAGCTTTCACGCCATCATCCGCACCACCACCACCACCACCACCAC